GTCCACCTTGACAAATTGTTGTGGATGGTGGATAAATTTTGCTTTAAGTGATTGATGGATTTGTTTCAAATTTAAATATCTTGGAATTTGGGATTTTTGGAATTTTGGTTTTTGTGGGTGGACTTCTGGGAGGCATTTGAAAATGCCTGAAATTAACCCCTCCGGTTGAGATCAGCATTCAACACGGCCATCATCATGGTATTTGGGGTTATTTCCTTTTTGTTGATTGAACCCTGTCAACTCGACCAAACTGTTGCTCAAGGATCGGGTTTCTCGTAGGCTTTATGTCTTTGCTTGTGAATTTTATTTGTTAAAGGCCTTGAAGGCCTAATATAAATGTATAAGATAAATATTCCGGTCGACTTCGTGACCACATATTTATCTGATGGCTTGAACCTTGTCTACTCGTATTTGCATGCTTAGGAGGATCGGGTTTCATAGGCTTTATGCCTTTGTTTAGTAAATTCTTTTGATTTTAGGCCTTGAAGGCCTAATATGAATGTATTGAAACAAATACATCGGTCCCCACAACCGTGTATCTGTTTGATAGTTCAAACCCTGTCGACTCCTATTAATCCGTATAGAAGGATCAGGTTCAAACTAGAATTCACTTATCGACTCGCGCAGTATCCCTAGGCGTCACGTGTGTACCAATAACATGCTCGCCAGGGCCCATGCGGGTATTGATTGTATTTACCCCTTTAGTGTACCTATGTGTATACAGATTACAGTGCACGTGCAGGGATATTTAGGAACATTTGTAGTTGTGCATGTATTTGTTATTTGAATGCACAACATTTCCTTGAAGAGCTTATACACGCCTTCTATCTGCTTGTACGAATGTTGCAGATCCGGTGGCGTTGGATTTTGATGTTGACTCCCCCTTTCTCAATCACCGGGGAAATTCTTCTAGACTTTGGGGTCAATGACCGCTGATTTGGAAAGAACTCTTTTTAGGATATTCGGTGTAGTGGACTTATTATTTTCAGTGTTCGTGGACATCAAAACTGTTTTCTTCCTAAGGATGGGACAAGGAAGAAACTTTGGAACACCAGGAAGTTTAGTTCTAATTTGTTTGAACTTTCCTCCCATTCTGTCAGGAGGTGTCCTTCTCCATACATCGAGTTGCCCTTGTACCCGACATACATGAAGATTTTGGTCACCGCTGTCGTAGGTGATATATGTACTTGTGTCCACAGGGATTCGTTGTTCTTTCAATACACTGTAGTTATCCACAAGTATCTATTTGCAGGGGACCGTTGTATCCACTATGACCTCCTAAAAGTGTTTGTAGAATACCCATTGCTTCTGCATCATATCCACCCTTTCACCAATCTCGGGTGATTTGATTGTACTTGTTTGACCTCGTAGGGATCGTCGTAGGAGATACCTGTACTTGTGCCCATAGTGGTTCGATGGTGCTTACGATATGCCCATTGTTGTTATCCACAAGCAGCTCGTTTTTGTTTGTAAGGATCTGTTGTGTTTGCTACGAGCTCCTAGGAATGTTCGTAGGAGACCCTCATTTCTTGCATCACATCCACCTTTCACCAATCTCAGGTGATTTTGCTGATTGTACTTGCTTGTAGGGGGCAGTTCTTTGACTATTGATCTCCAATGTTGCCTTCTCAATCAACAGGCATTTGTGGGGATTGTTGTAGGAGTTCGTGCATTGAGGTCTTGTAGTTTGAGTTTCTTCGTATGTGATCCAAGTTTCGACCTTTGCATGTGTTGAGTCCAAGTTCAATTTTATTCAAACTTGAATCCATCAAGTTTACAAGTCCTCGCTTAATGTCGTATGGTCCGAGTTCGGGTACGGGTTCAGAGCTTAGTCGCCAGACCAGATGCAAGACTGAGTCCCTTCGTGTTCTTAAAGGTTCAAGCTTTTGTTCAAGTCCCCTACAATCCAACTCAATTACTCGCTTGAGTTCAAATTGATCGAGCCATTAATGTTCAATTTGAGTCCAGAATGCAAGTTCAAGTATAGGTCCCCTGCAGTGCGAGTCTTGTTCAAATTTTAGTGTTTTCCACACTTAGTTTATTTGCATTTGAGTCCGAGTGTATATTCAAATGATTACTCAACGTATTTTGAGATCTTTTGATTTTAATTGAATACTCAATTTGACTTAAAGTTTGGTTCCAATTTGATTTTGTTTCATTTGAATTTGATCTTTATTGATCATTTGAATTTTATTCAGGTCCTCCGCACGTTTTTCAATCAAGTTCAAAAGTCTACTGTCCTCTCTCATTTGAGTCCAAGCTCTTGTTCTTTTGAGTTCAAAACAGGTCCAAGTGTAGTAATATTTCACCCGAAATTTCGGCAACCTCCCGGTGTCTCCCCCGTTTAGGGGAAAACTACGGAAAAACTGGGCCTCCCGCCACGCTAGAGAAAAGCGTGCACGGTAGGTGCCCTCTTTCGAGGACACCGCGGCCGTAAAATCTTTATTCCCCCACCACGCCACATAAAGGCGTGCATGGGTCTTTGGGCACCGATTCAAAAATGAGCAGTTTATATTTGACCCCTTCTCACCGTAGGCATCGCACCGGGTTCCCTTCCCACCACGCTAGAGAAAAAACCAATACAGAATTAATAAATAATTAACTATAATTAATTTTTGAAATTAATTATAGTTAATCAAATAATTATAATTAGTAATTAATTACTAATCATTAATTAATCATAATTAACATATTAATTACAATTATAATTAAATAATTACTAAAATAATTAATGATAATTAAAACGAAATTAAAATCTTCCCTTTTCCTCTCTCTCTCTGTTTCGCCGGGTTCACTGAGTGTGGCCGAAGAAGAGCGCGATACGGGAGAAAGTTACCTTCACTACCGCGAGCTCCTGTTCTTGGCTCCGATTAAAATGTCGTGACTTCCAAACGGAGAGGCAGAGGAGGTCTTCGAAGGAGCAAAGTCGGCGGGAGCTGGGGTTCGGCGCTTGAGGAAGAGGACAAGGTAAGGAGGCTCTCTCTCTCTCTCTCTCTCTCTCTCTCTCTCTCTCTCTCTGGACTGGGAGGATCGGAAGAAAGGGGAAGTCGGATGGCAACACAAGAGCTGGAGAAGAGACGCGTGCTTCTTACAACAAGCGCGCTCTCCTAGTTGCTTCCGACCAAGACGTCATAACTTCCGATCTCACCGGGAAAGGAAGACGTCGTCGATCGAGCGAAGTCGCACAGCCTGAAGGGAGCGAAGAAGTCGCGCGTGAGGGAGAGATGGAACCAGCGCGAGGAAGAAAGAGATTGGCTTCATTTCCTCTCCCTTTTAACGACAGCAAATTATTGGGTTAGGTGACCAGAGGCGAAAAATAAGTTCGGACATTCAATAAAAATTTGCCGCGTCACCTTGCGTTTTAGTTGCGCTTTTTAACTTGCGCTTTAGTTGCGCTTTACTTGCGCTTTACCTGCGCTTTAATTACGCTTTTTGACTTGCGTTTTAGTTGCGCTTTACCTGCGCTTTACTTGCGCTAAATTTAAAATAATATTTTATTAATATCCGGACCTATCTATGCGTCCGGTCACCTGACCCAATAATTTGCATTTAACGACACAGGTCGTGCGAAGACGTACGGACAGAGATACGACGCCGATGTGCAAGCGACGTGGGAAGATCGTGCAAGCAGTGTTGACGACGTGCGGTGTACAGTCGGATAGGCACGCACGACCTCTTCTTTTCTTCTTCTTTTTTGTTTCGTTCTGCCTGGTCCGAGGGTCAACATTATATATAAAGATTTTCTATTTATAATTATGAAACTTTACACGAAATTTTTCATAGGGTTGGATAAGTTGAGGTTGCCATAAATTCCATGTCATTCTCCGTGACCTTTCATATGAATTTCTTCTATGAAAATTTTTTCAAAGCTTAAAAAATAATAATAATGATAACAATGCAAACATACGCCAGATCCAAATAATACAACTTCCTTGTTTTGTTTGAATGTCCTTAAACACACAAAGTTTGGCCAAAAAGTTGCAATACAGGATAAAACATTGATAATTTGAGAAATAGTCGATAAATTATAATATAAGAATGAAATTATTACGAGAATCCAAATTTAAATTATAGTTAGTGACAAATAAACTTACCTAATAATTGGGGGGCAATAATACCACAATCAGTGGAAACAAGCTTTTGTTAGAATTGTTTAGGATTTATAACTTTCGTGAAATCAAATATCATATGAATGGCCACCTCCAGTAGCCACCGGCCACCATCCTCCGCTTCACCAGTTACCTGTCGCCTTCGACCATCACCATTATCACTGTCGGCCACCGACCAACACCCACTTTGAACTTTATATTTTATTCATTTTACTTCAAATCAAATAAAAAAATAATATTATGCATTCATTTTACACATTTAAACAATTGTATAGTATTCTTTTTAAACTATTACTTTTATAATATATTCTTTTTTTAAGTCAACCAAACAAACTCAAAGCTAACATTTCAGTTCTATCACAAATGCAAGACATTGGACTCCAAAAATCATTGACGATGGGTAGACGTAAATAATGCTTCATAATGTTAGGAAATAAGAGACATTAATATCCATCTATAGACTCTCTAATTTTAGCTTATCACCATTCACATTTATCATATCATTCAGCAGGAGAGAAGAGGTGAGGTGAATAATTCTATGCCAAAAGCGTGAGTAAAAAGGCTCACCATTCTGCACTCGCTACAAGGGATCCCATCGCAGGAAGCCATGTGGGGAAGAACAATCATGGATCTCATATTTTGATACCATGGGTCGGAGAGACTATTACGTGCAGCGTTCAGATAGTCCCGAGGCGAATCCGGACGAACCACGTCACCCGGATGCACCGGGCTCCAGGTGATGTGGTGCATCCGGATTCGCCTTCGAACGAATCCGGACACCGCACGTAATAATTTTCCCATGGGTTGAGTACGTACATTGATTTTGAGTTGAGAAACTATGCACCCTTCATCCAAGCAATCCAACCCAATCACAGCTATGCACTTTCCATAAAAAACCATAAATGAACAGCTATAGACTTTCAAAACTAAGAATGTTTAGAATAATCCCAGGATAATACAACTAACATCCTTACTATTTTGATACTCTGTACAGGGGAAATCTGGCCATGACAAGCCATCTGAAAGTTTTTTCAACAAAACCGTGTAACCAATCTTAAATAAATACTGATAAGAAAATTTCTCCCACATTCAGAGGACATATGGTGAAGCTAAATGGTGTTTATATTACAACTATTATATGCTAGTTTTAAACGAATTGACACTGAACCAGAAGAAATCCTGTAAAGCTCACCTGACGGCATGATCCGGCCTATAATAGAGCCGATTAGCAAAGACCAGCCTGGGAAAAATCATGAAAGCCTTCTACAATGAGAAATCCTTCATGAAAAGGGGAAATTATTAGGTCCGGTCGCCTGACAGAGAGATGCATCCGGATTTCTCTCTGTCTACAGTAAAAGTCCAGTGAAAGCGCAACTGCTACAGCAACTATGCTTTACTATAGATAGAGAGAAATTCAGATGTATTTCTGTGTCAGGTGACCGGACCTAATAATTCGCCCATGAAAAGAGGGCAGTGAGGTGCTCCTGTTCTGGTTTCAGGTTCTCCTATGATGCTGCTTCTTGCTCTTCTTAAGGGCCTTCGACATATAATCAAAATCTTGAAAGCCAGATGAGGCCCCGCCGATCAGCCAGTCCAATGCCTCGGAAGCAGCATTCTTCTCTGCTAGTTTTTTGTTTACGCAAGGCTGGCTGATGAATTGCATCCCATTGAACTCAACCGTAGCTCTAAACTGATTGCTCTTCAACTGCTTCGTTTTGTACGTTGGATTTTCATGCCCTGCTCTTGTTAGCATCATCTGAAGTTGGTTCTTGGGATTATCACCACCGCCCCCATTGCCCGAACTTATCGGAAGTAGATTTTTTATTATCTTGGGCTGAAGCTCCTGACGACCAAATACAAACTGACCGCTGCATGGATCCTCGGTAACAAGCAAGCGTATTGCATGCAGCAGCTCCTCTCTGGTTTGTATGTCCATTCTAGGGTTTTGAAGCTGCAAATAATAGCAGTTCTTTATGTTATGAATGGTTTAATGAACACAACTACATTACATGATCATAGTAATTTCGCCAATCGAACAGCTTGAAGTGGAGTTCTCGAGTTCCTAGTTATGTTGATAATATATTTAAATTGAGCAAGAAAGATTGAACATGTAAGGAAAAAAAAGGAACATAATCAAATTGATCCGAACAGAAGTGTATCAACAATGGCAGCAATACACATCTACTTTACTCAAGCTCCAATATTGACTAGATTAGAAAGCTAAAATGCATGCTTATGATTCTGCAATGTGTGATAGTTCTTATATATATTTTCTTAGCGGAATCCGATTTTGGTTGGACAATGTCATATGTTTTATGTTTAGAGTTATATATATGAAAGCATGCAATCATGTCGCTAAAGTTTTTTTTTTTTTTTCGGGGGTGGGGGGACCCTTTGAAGGGAAATGGTGTTGTATTCATTTCTTTCTCCATTTGCATCTAGCATGCATACATTATTGTAAAGAAGTGAACAGAAATATTTCTTTGTATAGATTTCTCTTAAAAATTTAATAAAAAAAAGCTCTTTAAGTCACTTTCTTGAAGCATGAAAGATAAATTGAGCTTGTGGTTATGTTCCATTTCCTGGGAAGAAATAAAGTTGAAATGTGATAGGAAATACTTGAGTTCGCAAGCAAACCTAGTCAAGATTAGTACAAAAACAGAAGAAAAACTGCTGTCCCAGCAGTAATACAGTAGCCACACAGCAGGTTTTGCACCAAAACAGTGGAAATTAGGAAGGGAAAACTCAGATTTTTACTAGTAGATACAAGAAAACAAAGTAAGATACAATGTTCTTCAATTCGAGAGGAAGAACCACTCTCCAAAACTCTCTAGCAAAGCCTAGAGCCCCAATCCACGAGTAGATTTCAAAATTTCTGCAAATCTCAAGATAAAACCCTAACTCACACGCTTTCTCCTAATTAGAGAAAAAGGAATAATTAAGAATCCCTAAACAGCCCTTTAATTCAAACTTTCCCTCCTAAAGCTTAATACATTCATTGCTTGGGCCCAAAAGTTCCCCCTCTCTGCCTGATTTTCGCCCAGCTTGGGCCTGCGGGAGTAAAAGAGGACCGGTCCAGCCGACAGCATAACTGTATTGTTCGAAAAAGTTTTGATTTAAAGGGAATTATTTTCGTTGAAATTCATTTGTTATCATTGCATTATTACTTTATGAAGAACGTTTGGAGGCACGCTTAGTTCTAAAAGAATCATGTTATGATGATATATTTGCATACACTCATAAATCTTGGCATTATATACAGATGTTTGGTATCATGTGATGCGAAGTTCGGTAGCAATGTTAGATAACTTCATCTACTTTATGTTTCAATTAAGCATAGGTTCGATGTAAAAGTGCTTTGCCTATATTGGAAAGAAATGCAAGCCTTATATGATTATTTGCATGCCTCATTTATGGTGTTTGATTTGGCTCACATAAATACAACCACTTTACGTATTTTTTTGCTCCTATACGTGGTTATATATAAGCGTCATGTGAAAGAAATCAAACGTATATGCAACTAGTTTAGAGGATGAGTGAAAATCATTATTGGATAAATGCTCTTATTGTTAATAAGACTCCCTAGTTTTGTTAGCATCGGCGAATCTATAATGGGGGCCCTGGCGGCACGGGAAAATCAGCATATTTAAAATTATATCAATTTAATTATTAATATATATAAGATTAATTTTAATTTTTAAAACTAATCCTCTGCTCCGCCTTACCCTCTGCCCAGTTTTTTTTTCTAAAGCTGTTAGCAATTGGCGGCATGCTTTTCTCTCTCGTCATTATCTCTCCCCACCCCGCTCTCTCTCTCTCTCTCTCTCTCTCTCTCTCTCTCTCTCTCTCTCTCTCGCTCCCGCTCATGTTTGTTTAATTTTTTTGGGGAGGGAATTGATAAAATTTTTAAATAAATCTAAGTAAATTAATTAGTTTAATTATATTAACTTTACAATTTTGTATTATTTATAATTTTCTTTATTAAATGTGAACAATTATGTTTAATTAACTTAATAAAAAATAATTTAGAATTATTAAAAATTAATTTAAAATTTGGTATCGAATAACCACCCTGTTTTTTATGATTTAGAATTGTTAAAAATCGAATTGGCTAAGTTAATTAATAAAATATGACTATCAAATTCATAACTAATTCTAAATCATTAATGAATCAACCATAATGATAATCACATACTAAAATTCATTACAACAACAACATCAAGCCTTTATCCCATTACGTGGGATCGGCTACATGAATCTTTTTTCTTCAATTTTGTCCTATTAAAGGTCACATTCTCGTTTAAATATAATAAAGAAAGGTCATTCCTAATATTTTCTAACCAAGTTTTTTTAGGTCTGCTTCTACCTTTCTTAACATAAGTCAAATCTAATACCTCTACTCTCCTAATCGGGTCATTGGAAGGCCGTCGTTTTTTGTGACCAAATCATCTAAGGTGACACTCTCTAATCTTATCTTCTACTGGAGCTATTCCAAACTTTTCAAGTATATGCTCATTTCGTATCCTATCTCTAAGGGTAAAGCCACTCATCCACCTGAGCATCCTCATCTCTGCCACACTTAACTTAGTATTATGCTTCTCTTTTAATAGCCAACATTCAGCACCATAAAGCATTGTAGGCCTCACTACCATCTTATAGAATTTCCCTTAAGTTTGAGGGGTACTTTTCTATCACACAACAAGCCCGATGCATTCCTCCACTTCAACCATCCAACTTGAATTTTATTGATAATATCCCCATCTATTTCATCATCACTCTGAACAGTAGATCCAAGATATCTAAAACGTGTACTCTTATTAATGACTTGATCGTCCAAAGTTATAATCCCCACACTAGGTCTATTACTACTAAAATTACACTCCATATATTCAGTTTTAGATCTACTCAAGCGAAAACCTTTAGACTCTAAGGTTGACCTCCATAACTCAAGTTTACCTTCAACTCCCTCTCTAGTCTTATCAACAAGAAGAATATCATCAGCAAAAAGCATACACCAAGGTACATCCTCTTACAAATGTCTAGTGAGAACATCCATGACTAAAGATATGGGCTTAAGGCTGAACCTTGATGTAACCCAACCGAAATAGAGAAATACTTAGTCAAACCACCTTGTGTTTGAACACAAGTAATAGCTCCTACATATATAAATCACTAAAAGCTAATGCCTTTGCATCGCATATTGCTTTCTTAGCATCCTTACGAGCCACTTTATATATTTCCCAATTATCATAATTTTTAAAATTAAACCAATTTTTATAGCAAAGCTTCTTATTTCGAATCTTTTCTTGCACATTAGGATTCCACCACCAACTATTTTTAACTATTAGGAGCTTTTCCCTTTGATACTCCAAGGACATCTTTTGCAATATTCTTAATATCACTAGCCACTTTTTCCCACATAATATTAGCATCCTCATGCACAGACAAAATCTTAAGATCTAAAATCTTATTTCCAAAAATATTTTTGTTAATATTCTTTAAATGCCCCATATTTTTGTTAATATTCTTTAAATGCCCCATATTTTTGTTAATATTCTTTAAATGCCCCATATTTTTGTTAATATTCTTTAAATGCCCCATATTTTTGTTAATATTCTTTAAATGCCCCATATTTTTGTTAATATTCTTTAAATGCCCCATATTTTTGTTAATATTCTTTAAATGCCCCATATTTTTGTTAATATTCTTTAAATGCCCCATATTTTTGTTAATATTCTTTAAATGCCCCCATTTAATCCTAGAAAATTGTTTTACTTTATTTTTTATTTTATGCCCCTTTATCTTAAAGTCCAAAACTAATAATCGATGTTGGGTACATAAATTTTCACTCGGAATAACTTTACAATCTTTGCAATCTAAACGATTTAATTTTCTAATAAGAAAATAGTCAATCTGGGTTGTATTATATCCATTTTTATAAGTGATGAGATGCTCATTCCTTTTCTTAAAAAAGGTATTAGCAATTAAAAAATTATAAGCTAAACAAAAATCTAATATGGTCTTGCCACCTTCATTCGTCGCTCCAAATCCATGGCCACCATGATTGCTTTTAAAATCATCTACCTCTCTACCAACATGTCCATTTAAATCTCCTCCAATAAAAACTCTTTCTTCAAGAGGTATATTTTGTATTAATTCTTCTAAGTCATTCCAAAAATTTAATTTAGAACTCATATCCAAACCTACTTGAGGAGCATAAGCACTTATAATATTAACAATCTTATCATCAACAATAATATTTAAAGCTATAATTCTATCTACAATCCTATTAATTTTTATAACATTATTCTTCAAACTTTTATCTATAATAACACCTACACCATTTCTAGTATGACTTCTACCTGAATACTAAAGTTTAAATCCTAAACTATCAATTTCCTTAGCCTTCTCTCCAACCCATTTAGTTTCTTGAATGCACCAAATATTTATCTTCCTATGAATCATAATATCTATTCATTCCATTAATTTTCCTGTAAGGGAACCTATATTCCAAGTTCCTATCCTAATTTTAGTTTCATGGACTAGCTTCTTTACCCACATACGTCCTTGATGTGGGAACCCTTGCCTATTTAACACTGCACCCGGGCGCCGGTGCAGCGGCCCTTCCACACTTGTCACTGTATTCAGGCCATACAGCACGTCGCTTCCATGGGACGCCCTAGCATTAACACAATTTTCTTAAAGGATTCATGTTATTATTATTCGACAAGTTTTACACTAGCTGTCGACTACCTAACGCAATCCTCCACTTTTCTCATCCAAGACTTGGGACCTGGCAATAATAGTGTTTCATACTAAAATTCATTAAATAAAAAATATAAAAATTTATTAATAATAAGATGATTATCTGGTAACTCGGGCCTACAAGGCTATTAAGTTATTCCCTAAGAGGATGAAATAAACCTTATGGCCCTAGTTTTTTTTTTTTTT